GAGAGAGAGAGAGAGAGAGAGAGAGAGAGAGAGAGAGAGAGAGAGAGAGGTGGGTGTGTGGTGGGCAAATAAGTATAGCTGTGCTCATGGTGTTGATCTTAATCTTGATTGGGTGCATGGGCTGGCCAGCAGCTACTGCCTGGCTGTGTGGAAAAGTGAGTTTAGCGTCAAAAGGAGGACACGTTAGGGAGGGAATCTTGGATTGCAAAGTCTATGTGACTCAGCCCTCTTTTAGGCGATCTGTAAATCCGAGTCGGACTAGGTGTTTTAAGGGAATCGTCGTTGCCTTCCTATTCCCTGCGACGACCACTGCACTTGTGTGTTTCTTTTTTTGTGCATTGCTCTCGGAGTATTGTCATGTTGTCCTGGTTCATTTTGAGCCCAGAAAGCTTTGAGAATGTTGTTCTTTTTTTTGGTTCTAAAACTAACTGCCGCGGTGGAGTGTTGGGTGGCCAGGAAGGGGTGGAGAACACATGACAAATGTTTGTCGTTGGCTGATGATTGGCAGGACGTTTCAGCTCGATTGGGTTTTGGCGTCATGCTTGAAATGAACTGATTGCAAATTGCATCTGCAACCGTGTTATTCTGCACTGCACTGCAATTGAGCGATGTTGAAATGGAAATAGAAAACTGTTTGGACGGGAGGAAAGTCGCTTGTTCACGGTCGTTGCCTGTTGGTTGATGTGCTGTCTCTGGTATGCGTGGAGCTGCGAAAAAGCGCAAAACCTGTGGAGGTATAGAATTGGTGTGGAAGTAATGAACATGAGTAAGTTGTGCAGAACATGGGAAACCTTGTGATATGCCTTTGAGGGGGCTCTACTGGGGAAGGGTGCCTTTGTGGTGTCACTAGGGTTGATGGGAAGTTCAGTTGCAAATGTATCGAGGTGGTGGCAATGAAAAACGCATGGAAATAAATTTGCTTTATCCAACTGCGTTGGTTTTGAGAAGGTGGCCACGGTGGACTCGAAAGAATATTCGCCTCTTGCCGATCGGTGGGTTTTGAGACGCCCTCTCCCAATGGTCTTGTTAGCCGCTTTCCGGTGGCATTTTATCCCCTTTATTTCTGACAAGCAGCTCAGGTGTGACTGATTTCCTCTTGCCCAGTCACGTCGCCCAACTTCACGAGCACTGCCACGTCCTTCCCAATGAATTGTACATGTCTATGGCAGTGTATGCCCTTTCTATCCTCTGCCCCCTTTTTTTGTGCTCTCTCTCTTTCTCTGTGTGTGTGTGTGTGTGTGTGTGTGTGAACGAGAGAGAGAGAGAGAGAGAGAGAGAGAGAGAGAGAGAGAGAGAGAGAGAGNGAGAGAGAGAGAGAGAGAGAGAGAGAGAGAGAGAGAGAGAGAGAGAGAGAGAGAGAGAGAGAGAGAGAGAGAGAGAGAGAGAGCAGGTCTTTGCAGGAATGTGGTCTTAGGATACTCGATGAACATGTACGATTTTGGAGGATTGGTACGGGTGATCTGGATAGGTTCTTTAGAGGTTGTCTGCTGTGTCACCTTTCTTTTCATGTCCTTGCCTATGGCTTTGAGGCGCAGACGTCTGCTTAGTGGAGTAAAGCCTCGAGGGAGTTTGTTGGGGTATGTTTGAATAAATGTACCATAGTTTGTCTGCCATGCAATATTTTATTTTATTATTCTCTATTATTCTGTTGCAGATATTGGTCTTGGCATCTTTTGGCACCTTTTTCCGGGCATTTTGTGAATTTGGAGATATATGTGATGTTCTCGCTTATTTTCTAGATACAATTTAGCTTGTGCGATGACTGGCACTGAAAATTCTGAAATTTGAATTCATTGACGCAGGTCCTAGGAGCGCATTTTGTCCGGGGTGCTCACTTTTTTTAAGTTTTTTAAAAGTTTTTTTTTTCCAACAAATATTAAATTTTGATTTACTGATATCTTCAGCGATATGTGATGGTTTACCTGATGTAGGACCTGCGCTTTGTGATTTCCATATGATGTCCCCCCGCCTGACAAGAGGCATTTTTTTGAATAAGTCGACGCAGGTCCTAGGGAAACGTGTGAGAAAATGGAAACGATACAGAGAAAAGAGTACATGGCATGCACGGCAGGCGAGAAATGGTTCCGTCGTTCGAGGGCAAAGAAAAGACGACGACCAATGGGGTCAAGCTCAGCGGGTACACCAACGAACTGTCGAAATACAGACCGGAGTTCGAATCCACCGTTGCTACCGAGGTAGTTGTTTGCCGTCGGCGTTGAGCGCCGCAGCCATGTATAATTAGTAGTGTAATAATTTAATTATAATTACTAATTACGTTAATATTAGAGAGAGTAGAGATGGTTATGCATTGCAATAAGAATTCGTTGACGGATGATCTTTGCACCATTGTGATGAGCTCGTAAGCTAAACTGGCTGATGCTGTCAGGATAACTCCGGGTGGAATTGTGAGGTCCCCGGCCTCCCTAGACCTGGATATATTGAAGTGTTTTTTTATCAAAAAAAAAAAAAAAAAAAAAAGCTTCTGGTGACTGTCAGTAGCGACTGATCAGGAAGAGCAGGTGGTGGATGATGCCAGATGGCTTGCGATTAGTTTTTTTGCGATAACGACTGACTGATTTTTCTGTTGAAGAACTCCATGGTCCTGAGTACTGTTTCGTTTGTCGCAGGTGGTCTGAAGTTGAGAAATTTGTATGAAGTCTCCTTTCTGTTAATGACAATGATGCGGATGGACTGTCATTCTTCCCCAAGATTTGTGCGAAGCCTTCTTTCTGTTGATGACAACGGCGCGTATGGACTGTTGTTCCCCGTCCCTTTCCCCGTGCCTTCTCCCCCC